AAAAATCACTTGGATTCCTATACACCAATAAAGAGAACGATGAAAAGGAAATCAGGAAAACAATACCATTTATAATAGCCCCTAAAAAAATAAAATACTTAGGAATAAATCTAACCAGGGATGTAAAAGACTTATACAAAGAAAACTACAAAACATTACTGCAAGAAATCCAAAGGGAACTACATAAATGGAAAAACATACCATGCTCATGGATAGGCAGACTCAACATTGTGAAAATGACAATTCTACCCAAAGCAATTTAAAAATACAATGTACTCCCGACCCAAATACCAACAACATTCTTCAAAGAGATGGAAAAACTAATCATTAACTTTATATGGAAAGAGAAGAAGCTCCAGATAAGTAAAGCACTACTGAAGAAGAAGAATAAAGTAACAGGACTTGTAGTACCTGACCTCAGAACCTACTACACAGCTATGGTGGTCAAAACAGCCTGGTACTGGTACGACAACAGAAACATTGATCAATGGAACAGAACTGACAACCCAGATGTAAATCCATTCACGTACGGTCACCTGATCTTCAACAAGGGCCCAATGTCCATCAACTGGGGAACAGACAGTCTTTTTAACAAATGGTGCTGGCAAAACTGGATGTCCATCTGCAAAAAAATGAAACAGGACCCATACCTCACACCATACACAAAAACTAATTCAAAATGGATCAAAGACATAAATATAAAGCCAAAAACTATAAAGTTCACAGAAGAAAAAATAGGATCAACGCTAGTACAGCATTAACAGGAAACAAACCATAACCAACAACATACAAACTCCAGAAGATAAGCTAGATAACTGGCATCTTCTAAAAATTAAACACTTACACTCATCGAAAGACTTCACCAAAAGAGTAAAAAGAGAACCTACAGACTGGGAAAAAAATTTTGGATGTTACAAGTCAGCCAAAGGTCTAATCTCTAAAATCTACAAGAAAATCCAACACCTGTACAACAAAAAGACAATCCAATTAAAAAACGGGCAAAGGAAATGAACAGACACTTCACCAAAGAAGACATTCAAGTGGCCAAGAGACACATGAGGAAATGCTCGTGATCATTAGCCATTAGAGAACTGCAAATTAAAACGAAAATGAGATACCATCTTACCCCGGCATTACTGGCAAGAATCAAAACACTGGGAATAACAAATGTTGGCGAGGCTGCGGGGAGATGGGAACTCTTCTGCACTGCTGGTGGGAATGCAAAATGATACAATCATTTTGGAAAATGATATGGCACTTCCTTAGAAAGCTAGAAACAGAAATACCATAGGATCCAGCAATCCCACTCCTAGGAATATATCCTAGAGAAATAAGAGCCGTCACACGAATAGACATATGCACACCCATGTTCACTGCAGCACTGTTCACAACAGCAAAAAGATGGAAACAACCTAGATGGCCATCAACAGATGAATGGATAAACAAACTATAGTACAAACACACAACGGAGTATTATGCAACAATAAAGAACAATGATGAAACTGGAGGACATTATGCTGAGTGAAATAAGTCAATCAAAAAAGGACAAATATTGTATGAGACCTCTACTGTAAAAACTCACGAAAAAGTTTACACACAAAAAGTAAAAATCTTTGTTGGTTACAAAGGATGGGAGGGGTGGGGGGGAATACTAAATAGACAAAAGACAAGTGGTAACTTTGGTGAAGGGTAAGACAGTACACAATACTGGGGAAGCCAGCACAACTTGTATAAGGAAAGGTCATGGAAGCTCCATAGACACACCCAAACTCCCTGAGGGACTGAATTGCTGCGCAGAGGGCTGTGGGGACCATGGTCTCGGGAAACATCTAGCTCAATTGGCATAACACAGTGTATAAAGAAAATGTTCTACAATCTACCTCGGTGAGTAGCGTCTGGGGTCTTAAAAGCCTGTGCGCAGCCATCTAAGATACTCCACTGGTCTCACCTCTTTGGGAGCAAGGGAGAATGAAGAGAACAGGATACAAGGAAAAGATTAGTCCAAAGGACTAATGGACCACAGCTACCAAGGCCCCCACCAGACTGAGTCCAGTACAGCTAGATGGTGCCTGGCTACCACCACTGACTGCTCTGACTGGGAGCACAATAGAGGGTCCTGGACAGAGCTGGAGAAGGATGTAGAACAAAATACTAACTCACAAAAAAAGACCAGATTTACTGGCCTGACAGAGACCGGAGAAACCCTGCGAGTATGGGCCCCGGACACCCTTTTAGCTCAGTGGTGAAGTCACTCCCAAGGTTCACCGTTCAGCCAGGGACTGGACAGCCCCATAAAACCAAATGGACTAATGAGGCACAGCAGTCCGGGGACAAGGACTAGACGGTAGGAGGGGACAGGAAAGCTGGTGATAGGGAACCCAAGGTTGAGACGGGACAGTGTTGACATGTCGTGGGGTTGTTAACCATTGTCATAGGGCAATACGTGTACTCGCTGTTTAATGAGAAACTATTTGTGCTGCAAACCTTCATTTAAGGTACAAAAAAGAAAAAAGAATTATCTATGTGAGATCAAACTGACAACAGCAACACAAAAGGTCTGATGGGAAGCCTAGGACAGTAAGTTGAAGACAATGGTGATGGAATAATTTGGAAAAGAATAGTGAGAATAGCAGCACAACTGGAAGAACATAACTGATGTCACTGAATTGTACATGTAGAAATTTTTGAAATGGTGTATCTTTGGCTATGTGTATTTTCACCAAAAAAAAAGGTCCTCCGAGGTCGAGAAGAGAGAGGGTTGACATGTCATGGGTTGTTAACCAATGTCATAAAACAATATGCGTACTGACTATTTACTGAGAAACTATTTGTTCTGCAAGCCTTCACCTAAAGTACAATAAAAAAAAAAGATTATAAAAAAAAGTACGATGATGAATCTGTGAAGCATTTCATAACATGGAGGAAACTGGAGGACATTATACTGAGTGAAATAAGTCAATCACAAAAGGACAAATATTCTATGAGATCTCTACTGTAAATACTCATGAAAAAGTTTACACACAAAAAGAAACAATCTTTGTTGGTTACGAGGGATGGGGGGGGAAACTATATAGACAATAGATAAGTGGTAACTTCGGTGAAGGGTAAGACAGTACACAATACCGGGGAAGCCAGCACAACTTGCACAACGAAAGGTCATGGAAGCTCCACAGACACATCCAAACTCCCTGAGGGACTGAACTGCTGGGTGGAGGGCTGGGGGGACCACAGTCTCGGGGAACATCTAGCTCATTTGGCACAGCAGAGTTTATAAAGAAAATGCGCTACATTCTACTTTGGTGCGTAGCATCTGGGGTCTTAAAAGCCTGTGCGCAGCCATCTAAGATACTCCACTGGTCTCACCCCATTGGGAGCAAGGGAGAATGAAGAAAATAAGATATAAGAAAAAGATTACTCCAAAGGACTAATGGACCACAACTACCATGGCCTCCGCCAGACTGAGTCTAGTACAACTAGATGGTGCCCGGCTACCACCACTGACTGCTCTGACCAGGAGCACAACACAGGGTCCCAGAGCTGGAGAAAAATGTAGAACAAAATTCTAACTCACAAAAAAAGACCAGACTTACTGGCCTGACAGAGACTGGAGAAACCCCGAGGGTATGGCCCCCGGACACCCTTTTAGCTCAGTAATGAAGTCACTCCCGAGGTTCACTGTTCAGCCAAAGATTAGACAGCCCCATAAAACAAAACGAGACTAATGGGGCACAACAGTCCAGAGACAAGGACTAGAAGGCAGGAGGGGGCAGGAAAGCTGGTAATAGGGATCCCAAGGTTGAGAAGGGACAGCGTTGACATGTCATGGAGTTGTTAACCATTGTCATAGGGCAATATGTGTACTAACTGTTTAATGAGAAACTATTCTGTAAACCTTCATCTAAAGTACACTTAAAAAAAAAAAAGCATGCATTACTTTGTTTTGAAAAAAACTGATCAATATTTTTTAATTGTATAGTTGGATTTCTACTATACACACAAATCCAGGAGAAGCCCTAAGAATTATATTAACAAGAGATTTTTACACTGAGATTCACTTGAACATATTAACAAAAGCAGTTGTAGAATCTTCTATTTTTAATCATAAGAATGTAAAACTCTCTAAAATGATTTGGTAAAAGTCCATTTCTACCTGAAAAGGGAACAGATGTCTGTTTTTTCCAGTCATCCTTAAAGGTTTCCCTAGAATCAATTCCCTAAAAGATACTGGTCAGTAAGAGTAGGAGAAATAAGAGAGAAGACTTTACATATATAATTTTTTTAAATTGCCTATTCTGTGCAAAGGGGGGAGGTGGTGGTTCAGTGGTAGAATTCTCGCCTTCCATGTGGAAGATCCAGGTTCAACTCACGGCCAATGCACCTCATGTGCAGCCACCACCCGTCTATCAGTGGAGGTTTGCGTGTTGCTATGATGCCGAGCTTCCAGACTAAGATGGACTAGGAAGAAAGGCCTGGTAATCTACTTCTGAAAAATCAGCCAGTTAAAACCTTACGGATCACAACAGTCCAATCCCACCGCACATGGGGTTGTCACTAGTCAGGCCTAACTCGACAGCAGCTAACAACAATGTTCCAAGCAAATACTTACCTTTCCTGTAACTGGATTTATATTGTTTCTGACTATCATAAATAAAAGTGTACAAACCATCAAATAATTCCACTCCAACCGGCTAAATAACCTGACATTTTAAAAATCCAAGTATAATTTTAAATCTGCACTCAATAAAGTATCTAATTCCCCAGGATGGGTAAAAGGCATTCGCCATTTATTAAAAAACACAAATGTTTCTATTTGGAAAAACAAACTGTCATAGATTGGGCACAATAACTGATGTGCCACTCTCAGGAATAAGGAGGAAACAGAACACGGTCTGAGCCAAAACATGGGTCTGAGGGAGCACAGACTTGTATGATGGGTCTATACCACTGTGTAATCTTGGGTAAGCTACCTAACTTCCCCAAGCCTCAGCTTCCTTGCCAATAAAATAGGTATAACACCTACCTCCCAGAGTTGTGCTGAGGATCAGAGGATTAGAGGAGATAATGTGTAGGATAGGGATACTTTCAGAAATGGCAGAACATAATTGAATGGTAGAGTGTTAACTTTCTACGTGCGAGTACCTCCGATTTCCACAAATGTGATGACAGCACTTTGGGACTGGTTATCATACTCCACGCACTCCACCTCTCCACCCCCATTTCGGGACTTAGAAAAGCTGAGTTCTAACTTGTCTCTCATCTGATCTGCAGGCAATCCGTCAGGAATTCCATTAACATTGATCTTCACTTTTGACACTTGTACGTGAACCTAGAAAGTAATTTCATATTAAGAAATAAGGGTGAGAAAAGTGGCCGTGTTTAACCGAGTTCTAAAAAGCTTTCAACACCACGTGTCTTAGTTATCTAAGGCTGCTGTAACAGACACACCACAACAGCGTGGCTTTAAAAGACAGAAGTTCTATTTTCTCACAGTTTAGGAGACTGCTCTAGGGGAAGGCTTTCTCTCTCGGTCAGCTCTGGGGGAAGGTCCGTGTCTCTTCAGCTTGTTTCCTGGTTCCTTGGAGATCTTCATGTGGCTAGGCATCTATCTTCCCCCATCCCCAGTTGCTTAATCTGGTCCTTTTATATAAGAGATTGACTCAAAACACACCCTACACTACACCTGCCTCATTCACATAACACAGACAACCCATTCCCAGATGGGATTATAACCACAGGCATAGAGGTTAAGATTTACAACACCTATTTCTGGGGGACACAATTCAATGCATAACACCATGTTACCTGGAATCTGACGCCTGAGTTTAATGAAACCGGTTGGGCCACAACCTCCACGTCTTTATCCTCTATCCGCACATGATGTTTTCCCATTCTTATCACATTTTGGGCAACTGAAAATCAGTTTGGAAAGTATTAATGTTGAATATTTCAAGATTTTATGCATTTGATTTGAGAGCAAATTATGGTGTGTCTTAAATTTCCTTTAATTTTAAAGGATCTCATTTGTAAATTTTTCTTAGAATTTCCAAGTGATAATAGTCGTGCTGCCAGGGTAGGAAGTGTTAACATCAAAATAATTGACATCAGCCGAAAATGACAATGTAGAAATCCTCATCAAGTTACAGACTCATCTCTTCAGCCTAATAATGCTTCAGAAATTCTAACATTATTTCAGTCCAGCCACACCCTCTTCCTTTCCACTGTTAACAGCATTACCAGAGACTTCTCCTACTACATTAAAGTACCATTAGAAATTCTTCCATGCTGAGTAAGCTGGAAAAACTTTTCTGGGTTTGTTATTTTTACAATGAATCTTAATTTTGTTTAACTTTACTCATCTGTCAGTCCTCCTTAATATAAGCTCCATAGAAATATGTATTTCTTTCTGTTTTCCCAGGGATTACTTATTAAGGACCACATAGGCTTGAAAGAGTGAGTCTTTTTTCCCCCACATTTAATGAGGATTTCTGCTTTTGCTAAAATGCTCTTGAGACCATTCTTTAAAAAGTTAGTACCCCTGATATGCCAATCACAAAGCTATCAAGTCTAATTTATGCCTGGAAATGGAAAAAGCTCAGTGATACAATTATTCAAAAAATCATTAGAATACCAAATAGTCAACTATATGTCAGTTTCAAATGTATGTGGGTGTGTGATTATTTTTAACTGTGTGGCATGAGAGTTCGTAACACTTTAGTTGCTAATATTTGGGACTGCTTATTCTAATTTACCATAAAGGTAAGATATGTTCACTCCCTGTCTTACAAACCTCACATGTGCTTATGACAACCAGATAGTATACCACAGCTGGAGGAAGACAGAACTGGGCTAGAAGGCAGGGCTTTGTCATGTGGGAAGGAACCCTGGTGCTGCAGTGGTTAAGTGCTCGGCTGCTAACAAAGAGGTCAGAAGTTCGAACCCACCAGCCATTCTGCAGTAGAAGGATGTAGCAGTCTGCTTCCATAAAGATTACAGCCTTGGAAACCTTATGGGCAGTTCTACTCTGTCCCATAAGGACCCTATGAGTGGGAATCAACTCGACGGCAATGGGTTAATGGGCACCACAATATGACTTTGTAACTTGGAATTTTTTTTTTGGGGGGGGGGCTAATGACAACAGGCAACAATAACAGAAAATATGAATGGAGTGATACATAGATGATGCTCTTTTTCCCCTACTCCTTGAAAACTCCCAACATCTGGTAATCAGATGCAGCTGAGAAGGACCACTTGTGTTTCAACTTTTCTGACTGTCAGAAGCCAAATGCTGTTTGTGTTAGAAGCTAGCTGTCCAGGAGAACAGGACCTTGGAGCCACACCAAGGGTGGAACTAGTGACATCACTATTTCTGAAGAAAATCCCAGTCCTATTCCCAGCATTCCCAGGCAACTCCTGTGCAGAATCCCTGCCTTCTGAATCCTCCGTTACATTGTTAAGTAATATCCCGATTACCACTGCCAACAGTCAACATGGCTTTCAGCCTCCTCCCTCCACCCTCAGTTGCAAGGGCTTTCCGCCTCTTCCCTCCACCCTCAGTTGCAAGGGAGGGCCCAGGGCTGAATAAAAGCACACTGGGCTTTTATGCTTGGATACACATCAACTGACCTGCTGGAATGCCTTTCTTTTTAACATTTACTTTCAGGCTATAGTGGTAGACCAGGTGTCAGGAGGTGTGGGCTAGAATCACGTATTCTCAGAATCTGAGCACAGGAAGGGCTTATGAAGACCATCTGGTCCCACCCCATAACTTGACAAATATGGGAAGAAGGCCCTAGATGGTAGACTGCTTGGAGGGATGCTGACTCAGTGGCAAGTATATGAGCACTCAGGGTATGGCTCTCAGCTTGGCAACTTACTAACTGTGTGGACCGTGAGCCAGTTACTTATCTTCTTTAAGGTTTTATTTTCTTATCTGGAAATTCCTAACATGTGGCAATAATAACAGCTAACATTTATTAAGTATCATTATGTGTCAGACATTGTGCTAAGCAGTTTATAAACATTCTTATTTAATACTCAAAGCAGCCCTATGAGGCAGGTACTACCACAAAGGCCGTTGTACAAATCTGAGATTTAGAGTTTGGTTAAAGACCCAAACCAAACTAAACCTACTGCCATCAAGTCATTTCTGACTCACAGTGACCCTAAAGGACAAACTAGAACCACCCCATTAGGTTTCCAAGGCTATAAATCTTTATGGAAGCAGACTGCCATATCTTTCTCCTGTGGAGTGGCTGCTGGGTTCGAACCATTGACCTGCTGGTTAGCAGCCAAGCACTTAACCACTCCCTCACCAGGGCTCCTTACATGGTTAAAGAACTTACCCCAAATCATACTTCTAGAAAGAAGCAGAGCTGGTACCCAAAGTCAGATCCTTATTAAGTTGTCCTCAGCTCTGAGCAAGGCCCTATACCCATAACGGACTTAGCGAATATCAGGTCCCATCCCAAATCTGACTCCCAAGCTCTTTCCATTCACTGGTTATATGTCCACAGGAAAATCACTTAAACTTTCTGAGAATCTGTTTTCTTGGCTACAAAATCTAAATAACTACTACCCTATCCTATTGCTTTCATACAGCTGTGTGAGTATAGAATGAGATAATGTCTGTGAAAACATTCTGAGAACTGTATAGAGCTCTACTACCCTAGGATATTATTACTATTATTATTATCATTATTAAACAGGCAGTATGTAGAGTAGAAAGAGACTGGTATTCAATATCACACCATCAGGGTTTGAGGCCAAGAGCCATCACTTTCTGAATGAGGGGTCATATTCAAGTCACTTAACATCTCAGTCAACTTTTCTCATCTGTAAAATGGAGATAATGATACCTGCCTCCAGGTATCACTCTGAGGAGGAAATGAAATGAGTGAAAAAACTATAAAGCAATAGCAAGTATCTATGAAAACACTTTGAAAGCCCAACCGTTTTCCAGATGTAATGTGATCATGTTTTTGAACATTACTCATACCTTCCTCCTGTTCAAAGGTGATGAGAACTTCTCCTTTCTGTAATTCATAAGGTACTTGTACGGCTACTTGAAATGAACAGGAGACATTTAAAAACTGGCTGTCATTCTCAGGATTTTCTACAGATGCGAATTTTATCACTGTCTCAGGAATATCCTCTTTAATCTAATTTAAACAGAAACATTTGATTAAAATCAAGACAAGAAATAACGTAAGTCCTTCCAAGGATAATGTGATTTGATTATCCACTAATTCGTCTTCCACTGATTACAGAACCCCACAGAATGCGGAGTGTGGTCTTATTTAATATCTTTTAACAATTGCTTCTTCCCAGGTAAGACTACTTAGTAATGTAATCAAATGCTCATCCTTTAATACTATGTCAGAGATGAAATTATGTAATTCTTTCACTTTTCCTAATCAGTGTTTAAACTGGTCAGTATTGCATGGTATTTGATTCTAAAGCCTACATCATTCATGTACGTAAGTACCTTTTAAATAACTGTGCAAATAACAGGCTATTTTGCAAGGGAGTCCGTCATTAGACAATATGTTTAATCTCACTGCAAAGAGGTATGAAATATAGTTGTGTATATACTACGGTTATTTTGACAGCAAATTCGGAAAATTTAATCCAAAAAAGGATTCCTGAATTTTATGATTTAATATTTGTCAAGTTTAAATTCCCCATTCCCCAATACGTATCCTCAACTTCTTAACCATGACCACAACTTGGGTTTGGAAAAGTGAAGAGACACTATCAACGAGAATTGCAACCTAGAGGATAAAGTTATGGTTATAGTTACCCACTTAAAATCAGTGGGATTAAGAGATACATAGAAGTACAGACAAATGAGCCAGGTGTTTGCATTTCTATTTCCTATGGTTTTTTTACACACCAATAAAAGGTGTTATCCCAAAGGAATTAGAAATACTCCATGAGTCATTTGATCTAATCTTGTATTTATTCTATATATCTTGATATGTAAATTCAGTAGAATTTCTGAATACCATAAGGCTGACTTTACGAAAACAATCTGTAATGTTTGGGGTGAAAAAGCAAGAGTGTTCCCCAGTAATGTGGAACTATTCGGTCAGGCATCTTCTGGAGCTGGTGTAAGAAATCCTGAATTCTAGTCACAGTGTCAGACAGCAATTCACTTACACCCCCTGGATCACAGGTTCTATTCTCTGTAAAGTGGGTTAGCTGGGCTGGCTGCTTTCTAAAGGCCCTTAGAGTTGTAAGACTACATGATCCTGGCTCCAGCCTGAGAGGTAACCAGAATCTTAGAGTCTTCTGCCAGATGTCACCCCATCTCATAAACACAGCAAGCCTCACTTTTTTGATATTCAATATCCCATCCCCCATTTGAGAAACAAAAAGTGATAATGCTTTAGCATTTGAACTGTTTAAAGAAAGTTTTGTTTTTTTTTTTTAACAATATGAGTTGTGGAGAAGAAAAAAAAAGGGGTTAAAAATTATATCTACTTCAAATACAGGAAAATTTAGGAGAAGAATTTAAATGGTAAGGGTTAACATATGTCTAATTTTTTAAACTGTAAAACTCATTTAAACTACTTATTGCCTCGAATGAGGAGAATAATAAAAGGACTTAGGGAGAAGACCAAGAATTTAAAGCAAAAGTAACTGAGAATGGGTTTCCTCTGTTGTAAATTCAATTGAAGTATACATATAGAAAAGTGAGTGTAATCATGCATGTACAGCAAAATGAAAGTTTGCAAAGCAAACATACCCATGTGAACATCCAGATCAAGAAACAGAACATGACCAACCCTGAGAAGCCCCCTCATGTTCCCTTCCAGTTTTGACCTGCCTCCAAGGCAGAAGAAACTTACTATTCTAAATTCTAACATCCTGCTTTTGTGCTTTATTTAAACGGAAGCACATGGCATGCCCTCTTTGTCTCTTCTGGCTCAACATCATTGTTATGGGTTGATCTGTGTTGCCATAAAGAGGCAGTTCTACTCCGTCCTACAGGGTTGCTGTGAGTTAAAACTGACTCGACGGCAATGGGTTTGGTTTCTTTGGAAAGATATGTTCAAGTCCTGCTCCATGGTACCTATGAAAGAAATCTTATTTGAAAATAGCATCTTTGCAGATATAGTTAACATGAGGTCATACTAGAGCACAGTGAGTCCTCATCCAATATGACTGCTGTCCTTATAAGAATGCCATGCGAACATACAAAGAGAGATCCAGAGGGACAACAGCCACGTGAAGACAAAGGCAAAGATTGGGGTGATACATCCATAAGCCAAGGAACACTAAAGATTGTGGGAAACCCTGGAAGTTAGGAGTGAGTCATGGAACAGCCTTTCCCTCAGAGCCCTCTAGAAGAAACCAACCTTGGAGACACCTTGATTTCAGACTTCTAGTCTCCAGAAAGTGAGAATAAATTTCTGCTTTTTAAGCCAACCAGTTTGTGGTACTTTGTTATGGCGGCTCTAGGAAACTAACACAATCCTGTTTGTGAAATTCATCCACATCGTTGTTGTAGTCTGTTTATTCTCATCGCTGTGTAGTATCCCGTTATGTGAAGATACCCCGATTAATTTTTTTCATTCTACTGTGCCGGAACTTTGGGTTGTTTTCAGTTTTGGGCTATTACAAATAGTGGTACTACAAATGGCCATAATGTTTCAAAAGTGAATTCTGTGTCATTAAATTGCTTTTTCTGAAAAGTCGCTGTCCATTAAAAATGTGATACTTAAAAGGAGTACCTGGAAGTTTCTGGTGTTTATTTGTAACTCAGCTTCAAGCTTTCGGATCTCTTCCAGCAGCTCAGTATTTCGCTTTGCAATTTTATCAATTATTGAGGTCTAAAAAATATCAAACAGTACCAAAAATTAAACCACCCCTGAATTCATTTCTCCAAATGAATTAAAGAAACAAAATTTCTCTTAACCTCAGCAAGGTAAAGAAAGGCATTAGACACTGTCACAGAATGAACATCATATAAATATTTGTTGAATGTTTTACACTGTCACCTGTTGATCTCATAACACTGCCAAACATTATTATCCCCACTATAGAAACAAGAAAACAATCGCTTGCACTAGACCAAAATCAAAGAAATTTTAATAGCAGAGCAAATGTTGAGACCTAGACCTTGTGAATCTTACTTCAGGGTTCTATCAACTCCTTTCCTAGTTATTTATGATGAGGAACTGACTTTTAAATCATACTTTAACTGTGACTATATGTTACTTTGAGACAGTTAAAAAAAAACACTAGCTGTGATTTCTGTCGTACACAGCTTCCTTGACATGACAGAGATATCACCTTGGATAAGTGGTTTAAGCTACCTGGGCCTCCATTTCCTTTTGGGGCCTATATCAGATAATGGCTAAATAAGCTCTTAATTTCTAGATGCAAATCAAAGAAATGGGGGCAGGAGTGAGAAGGCAGCTAATGTAAACATTGTAAGAGAAAGAATAGAAAGATAATTCTTCTCGTTAGACTTGAATAAAATAATAGAAGGGAAAAAAGTTGGAAAAGTCTATATCCTCCCAAATTTAAGGGAATGCTGGACAAAGACACATATAAAACATGGCTTACTGTAAAACTAGCAAATATAACTTTTTAAATAATATTTAGTAATTTTCCTTTTTACCTGATTTCTTTCATCTGTCAATAATCTGTCACATAAATCCAACACAGAGTGTTTCTGGTTTTCATTAGCTGCCATGATTCCCTATTACAAAAAATAAATATCTTTAAAATGACATATATGCACACATTCAAAAAGAAAGCCATGACTTCTACCCTCTTGTGGAAGAAAGAAACACCTTTTCTTTGCTATGTCTTTTTTCCTATCCTGAAAGTCTTTATTACCATGTGGCTTATATCTGAACAAAGTGTATATTTCAAATAACCCTCACATTAATAAATATACAAAAGAATTCTAAAAATTCTTTGCTTTTCAACATAATAATATCCAGAAAAAAACGGGTCTTAACATTCCTTTGTAGTTCATACCCCAGTCATCATATTATGCTCCATTTTAAAATACTATTTTTGGGTCCATGAATAGCACAAACAGTTAACGAACTTGGCTACTAACCAAAAGGTTGGAGGTTCAAGTCCATGAGAGGCACCTTGGAAGAAAGACCTGGTGATCTACTTCAGAAAATTCAGCCATTGATAACCCTATAGAATACAGTTGTACTTTGACACACATGGGGTCACCATGAGTCAAGAGTTGACTCGATGGCAACTGTTTTTTTTTTTAAATTTTGGTCAGACGCTTTGTGTCATCCCTCTTATAACAAAGACCCAAAACAGCAAGTGAATCGGATATATATGACAATCTAGGAATCCTAAGGATCAAAGACAAAGCTGAAGAATAGGACTGAGTGGCAGGCGGAAGGAGAGTCAATTCAAAGACAGCAGAAATGGGAATTATTAACTGCTGGATCATTGGCATCCTGCTAGCTGAATCTGCACAGTGCACACAGATCGAGGCAAGCAGCAACATCCCAAGCTGAAACCCACTCCATCTGGTGCAGCTAAGCAGCAGTGAATCTGCACACACCTTCAGAACAAAACAGGAGCAACACCAGACCTACAAAAGATGACTGCAAGCTTCAAAACCCACCGTAACCTTTCCCTTACCAGAGCTCTATGGCCAAGGAGCACTTCCTTCTCTTCATCCATCCCCCTCCCCACTCCAACACTAGTCCGGCAGCATTCAATACCACCATGCCCCTAAGACAGGAACTCACTGCCTGGTCCGGAGGCACCCACCCCTTCACCCAGCCGCTGGCGTAGGTGGTCCATGGACTTGCAGCGCCCTTCACACCTGCCAGTCACCCATGCCAGTGCCTTGTTGGCCCACCCCACATAGCATGTCCTCATTAGGACAAAATGCACAAAGTATCCAGTTGAAGCCCATTTCCACCTGCGGCAGCCATGTGGGTGCTGCAGATCTGTGGCATTTGACATCACCCCGCCCCCTAATAAGGAGCGTCACCCATCCATACCATGGGCCAGCGGGCCGATGGTACCACCCACTCCATCTAGCCACCCACGATAGGGGCCTGAGAATCAATGGCGCCCACTAATCCCTCCAGCCAATGGCACCGGGTGCCCAAGGACCAGCTGCACTACCCCTCCCACTATGTGCTCTCATGGACTGGGGTATGCCCTCCCTCTGGGCACCCAGACGCAGCCAACAGCCCCCTGCCTTGCCCCTGCTGCAACCAGAGAATGTGCACGCTCTGAACACCACCACGCCCTCACCACCCAGGACTGTAGGTGACAGTCTCCGCACAACACACTTGGCAATGACCCGGGTATCTGTGCCCTGACCAACCAGTAAGAGGCAGAGCACACACATAACACCCAACCCAACAACCAAGGAGAACAACCCCTGCTCCTGCAGCCAGGTGACCAGCAGGACAGACTCATCACCCCACCAAAGACACCTCCTTTATTTTCAGCAGCCCCACAAGAACAACGAACAGACTCCCAGGCTCACACACCTCGTAGCTGCTCTGAACACCTGCAGACTAGACGTGAAAGCTTCATCAAGAACACATTAATGACCAGAGTAGCAAACATGCACAGTCTACTTGGACATATCAAAACAAAACAGAAATTCAGGATGCAGTAAACAAAAATAAATATAATTTATAGATGCCTCAGAGACAACAGTCAATATCAAATCACATAAAGAAGCAGCACAAGATGGCTCCAGTAAACAACCAAAATAAAGAATCAGAAAATCTTCTAGAGGAAGATAAAGAATGGAACTACCTGATAAAGAATTCAAAAGACTAACATGCAGAGCTCTCCAAGAGACCAAGAAGGAGATCAGGCAAAACAGACCAAACCAAGGAACACACACATAAAGCAACAGAAGTAGTCAAGAAAACAATACAAGAACAAAATGACAGAATAAACACACTGCTAGAAGCTATACAAAAACAGCAACTAGAAATCCAAAGGATTAACAATAAAATTTCAGAATTAGACAACTCAACAGAAGGTCATAGGAGCAGAATCAAGACAATGGAAGTCACAATTAGTGAGACTGAAGATAAATCCCTTGGCACCAATTTGTTTGAGGAAAAATCAGAAAAAAAGAATGAAGAAAAATTAAGAAAGCCTAGGAATTATGTGGGATACTATCAAGAGGAAAACCCTACAAGTGGTTGGAGTACCAGAACATGCGGGGATAATGGGAAACACAGAGAGAACTGTCGAAGATTTGCTGGCAGAAAACGTCCCTTATATCATAAAAGATAAGACGATATCTATCCAAGAAGCTCAATGAACCCCAAAAAGGAAAGACTTCAGAAGAAGATCACCAAAATATATCAAAATCAAACTTGCCAAAACCAAAGACAAAGAAAGAATCCTGAGAGCAGCTAGGGATAAATGAAAAGTCACCTACAAAAGAGAACTAATAAGACTAACCTCTGATTAGTCAACAGAAACCATGCAGGCAAGGAGGCAATGGGATGACATATAAAAAGCCTTGAAGGAAAATAATTTCCAGCCAAGACTTATATATCCAGCAAAATTCTCTCTCAAATGCAATGGCGAAATTAGGTCATTTCCAGATAAAAAAAAACTAAGGAAATATGTAAAAATGAGATCAAAATTACAAGAAGTATTAAAGGGAGTCCTCTGGTTAGAGAACTAACAACATCAGACAACAATCTAAAACTAGGACACAGGACAGATCAACCAGATACCAATCCAGGCAGAGAATTCACAAAAACAAAACAAAGCTAGAAAGACTAAAAATGGGTAACCAGAGACGTCAATATGTAAACGACAACAATGTCAAAATAAAAAAAAGAGAATAAACAGTGTAGTCATAGAATTTCCATATGGAGGGAAGTCAAGGTGATATTAAAAAATAAAAGACTGGTTTGTACTTAAAAAAATAAAGGTAAATTTTGAGGTAACCACAAAGGAAGCTAACAAACCTACCCATCAAAACACAAAAGAAGAAAAACCTAAAGACTCAGAAAACACAAAATCAACAGTAATGAAGAAGATGAAAAGAAAATTCATAAACAAAAAGAACTCAACACAGAAAATTAAGAGGAACAAGGAAATTGTCAACACCCCCCCACACACACAAATACAACAAAATGACAGCAGTAAACTCATACCTATCAATAATTATACTGAATGTAAGTGGCCTAAATGCGCTAGTAAAGAGACAGAGAGAAGCAGAATGGGTAAAAAAAACACATTCCATCTATATGCTGTCTACAAGAGCCACACCTTAGGCACAAAGACAAACTAAAACTCAAAGGATGGAAAAAATAAATCAAGTGAACAATAATCAAAAAAGAGCAGGAACGGCAATATTAATCTCTGATAAAATAGAATTTAAAGCAAAATTCACCATAAAGGATAAGGAAAGACACTATATAATGATTAATGGATCAATACACCAGGAAGACATAACCATAATAAATATATACACACCCAATAGCAGGGCTCCAAAATACACAAACTCTAACAGCACTGAAAAGAGAAATAGACAGTTTCCACAATAATAGTAGAAGACTTCAATACATCACTTTCAGTGAAGGACAGAACATCTAGAAAGAAACTCAATAAAGATACAGAAGACCTAAATGCCACAATCAACCAACTCATCCTCACAGACATATACAGAACTCTCCACCCAAGAGCAGCAACGTATACATTCTTTTCCAATGCACATGGAAAATTCTCTAAATTTGATCACATTTTAGGCCACAAAACAAGCCTTAACAAAATCCAAAACATCCAAATACTACAAAGCATCTTTTCTGACCATAAACCCATAAGAGTTGAAATCAACAGAAAAAACAAGGAAAAAAATTCAAATACATGGAAACTGAACAACATCTTGCTCAAAAACTACTGGGTAATAGAAGAAATCAAGGATGTAATAAAAAGTTCATAGAATCAAATGAGAATGAAAACACATCTTACCAAAACCTCGGGGACACAGCAAAAGCAGTGCTTAGAGGTCAATTTAAAGCAATAAACACACACATCAAAAAAGAAGAAAGGTTCAAAGTCAAAACATTAACCCTACAACTCGAACAAATAGAAAGAGAGCAGCAAAAGAAGCCCTCAGGCAACAGAAAAAAGGAACTAATAAAGATTAGAGCAGAAGTAAAAGAAATAGAGAACAGAAAAACAATAGAAAGAATCAACAAGACCAAAAACTGATTCTTTGAAAAGATCAACAAAATTGACAAACCACTGGCCAAACTGACAAAAAAAAAAAAAAAAAAAAAACAGAAAGGAAGCAAATAACCTGAATAAGAAATGAGACAGGTGATATCACAACAGACCCAACTGAACTAAAAAAGATAATAACAGAATACTATGAAAAATTGTACTTCAACAAATTTGAAAACTAGAGAAAACGGACAAATTTCTAGATTACAAACTGAGGTAGAAAAACTAAACAGACTTATAACAGTAAGAAGAGATTGAAGAAGTAATAAACATAAAAACTTCCAACAAAAAAAAAGCCATGGCCCGGATGGCTTCACTGGAGAATTCTAACAAACTTTCTGAGAGAAGCTAACACCAATACTACTCAACTTATTTCAGGCCATAGAAAAGAAAGGAATACTTCCAAACTCATTCTGTGAAGCCAGCATAACCCTGATACCAAAATCAGGCAAAGACACCACAAAGAAAGAAAACTACAGATCAGTATCCCTCATGAACATAGACACAAAAATTCTCAACAAAATTCTAGCCAACAGAATTCAACAGCATATCAAAAAAGTAATACATCATGACCAAGTGTGATTCATACCAGGTATTCAGGGATGGTTTAACATTAGAAAATCAATCAACATAGTCTACCGCATAAAGAAAACAAAAGAAAAGAATCACATGGTCATATCAATCAATGCAGAAAAGGCATCTGGCAAAATCCAAAACCCATTCTTGATAAAAACTCTCAGCAAAATAGGAATCAAAGATAATTCTTTGACATAATAAAGGGCATTTATACCAAATAGCCAACATCATTCTAAAGGGAGAGAGACTGAAAGCATTTCCCTTGAGCATAGGAACAAGACAAGGATACTCTTTATCACCACTCTCGATTCAACATCATGCTGGAAGTCCTAGCTACAGCAATAAGGCAAGAAAAAAAAATTAAGGGCATCAAAATTGGTAAGGAATAAGTAAAAGCATCCCTGTTCACAAACGATATGATCTTATACATAGAAAACCCCAAAGAATTCACAAGAAAGCCACTAGAACTAACAGAAGATTTCAGCAAAGTACCAGGATACAAGATTAACATACAAAAATCAGTTGGATTCCTCTACACCAACAAAGAGAACTTCGAAAAGGAAATCATCAAATCAATACCATTTACAATAGCCCCCAAAAAGATGAAGTCTTAGGAATAAATCTAACCAGGGATATAAAAGACCTATACAAAGAAAACTATATACACTACTGAAAGAAACCAAAAGAGACCTATGTAAGTGGAAAAACATACCATGCTCATGGATAGAAGACTCAACATTGTGAAAATGTCAATACTACCTAAAGCAATCCACAGATACAATGCAATCCTGATCCAAGTTCCAACGGCATTCTTTAACAAGATGGAGAAAAAAATCACCAGCTTTATACGGAAAGGGAAGAGGCCCTGAATAAGTAAAGCATTATGGAAGAAGAACAACAAAGTGGTAGGCCTCATACTACCTGATTTTAGAACCTATTATACAGCCACAGTAGTCAAAACAGCCTGGTACTGGTACAACAACAGATACACAGACCAATGGAACAGAATTGAGAACACAGACATAAATCCATCCATCTACAAGCAACTGATATCTGACAAAGGGCCAAAGGCCTCTAAATGGGGAAAAGACAGTCTCTAACAAATAGTGTTGACATAACTGGAGGTCCATTCTGTAAAAAAATGAAGAAAGATCCATACCTCACACCATACACAAAAACTAACTCAAAATGGATTAAAGACGTAAATATAAAATCTAAAATGATAAAGATCATGGAAGAAAAAATAGGGACAATGCTAGGGGCCCTAATACATGGCAAAAACAGTACACATACCATAACTAACAATGCCCCAGAAGATAAACTAGATAACTGGGAGCTCCTAAAAATTAAATACTTATGCTCATCAGAAGACTTCACCAAAAGAGTGAAAAAAGAACCTACATACTGGGAAAAAAATTTTGGCTATGACATATCCAATAAGGGTCTAGTATCTAAAACCTACAAAATACTTCAACACCTCAAAAACAAAAAGACAAATAATCCAATTAAAAAATGCACAAAGAGAAGCCGGTGGGAGCTTACGGACTTCTGTTGCTCGTGGAAGATTCTTCAACCAATCACTATGTCATCCAACACAGATGTTTCTCTTTCTTCCTATGATGAAGATCAGGAATCCAAACTTATCCGAAAAGCTGAAGAGGCACTGTTTGTCCCCATTGGAATGGAGGGTTTTGCAGCAATAGTTTTATGTGGATTATACAAATTGAAGAGCATAGGAAATACTAAAATGTCCACCCACGTGATCCACACGCGGGTGGCAGCCCAAGGCTTTGTTGTGGGAGCAGTGACTATTGGTATGGGCTATTCTTTGTATCAGGAATACTGGGCAAAACCTAAGCCTTAGAAAAAGACATACTATCTTCGTCTTGTTAGTGTTGCTTGATTAGATACCTCATTTTGAAGTTACATGTTTATGTTGAAAATAAACGATTTAAGTGGGTTCAGACAAGAACACAGTGTTTTGAATATAGGCTTTCTTTATTACAGGCTTGACTAGCCTAATGACCAAATTGCTAGTACCTAGGTCACTCACTAGGTCATCAGGGGAGTCAAGTTAGCAAAAAGAAACTTGCCTCCCAAATTCACTTGACAGCGATAAAATACCCACATTCTTAAACTCTTAGGATGAAATTAGTTCCAAAAAAGACAGCAGGCCAATGCCGAAGTCCTTCCAGTTGCTGCAGAATATCACATGCTTTGGATGTCATGTGAGAGTGCTGTGTACCCCAATTAATTTAACTTTTTTCTGCCTGCCTTGTGGACTGGTTGAGTACTTCAGTTTCTAGGGCTAGCTGACTCTTGAAGAACCCTTTCAGAAAAGTGGATGGAATATAACATATTGTCCCCCACAACTGAAAACGTGTGTGTTTAAATTAAACCTAAAAAGCTGGTAACAGCTGCTTAGAAGTAGTATTTATTTTAGAATCATACTTACACACATGCGAATAACTTAATTATGGGTTCCAATTTAACTCTTTTGTAATTGTAGAATTATATTTTTGCTGCTGTCATATTAGAATAATTTTTAAATGTCATCTTGAAATAGAAATGTGTATTTTAATTGCTAATCCAAAAGTAAATGAAGAGCACTTTTAAAAAGAAAAAATGGGAAAAGAATATGGATAGACACTTTATCAAAGAAGACATTCAGGCAGCAAACAGACACATGAGGAAATGCTCACGATCATTAGCCATTAGAGAACTGCAAATCAAAACTACAATGAGATACCATCTCACCCCAACAATACTGGTACTAATCCAAAAAACACAAAATAAAAAATGCTGGAGAGGTTGTGGGGAGATTGGAACTCTCATGCACTGATGGGAATGTAAAATGGTACAACCACTTTGGAAAACTATATGGTGTTTCCTTAAAAAACTAGAAATAGAAATACCATATGATCCAGCAATCCCACTCCTAGGAATACACCCTAGAGAAATAAGAGTGTCACATGAATAGACATATGCACACCCATGTTCTCTGCAGCACTATTCACAATAGCAAAAAGATGGAAACAACGTAAATGCCCATCAACAGGTGAATGGATAAACAAACTATGGTACATACACACAATGGAATACTATGCAAAGATAAAGAACAAAGATGAATCTTCAAAACGTCTCGCAACACGGATGAATCTGGAGGGCATTATGGTGAGTGAAATAAGTCAGTCACAAAATGACAAATACTGTATAAGATCACTATTATAAGAATTCAAGGAAAGGTTTACACACAGAAAAAAAAATTCTTTGATGGTTATGAGGGTGGAGAGGGAGGGTCAAGGGAAATCACTAACTAGATAGTAGACAAGGGTCAACTCTGGTAAAGGGAAAGACAACACACAATATAGGGAAAATCAGTACAACTGGACCAAAGTGAAAGCACAGAAGTTTCCTAGACACATTCAAACACTTTAAGGGACCGAGTAGCTGGGGCTGGGGGCTGGGGACCATAATCTTGGGGGACATCTTGGACAACTGGCATAACATGGTTCATAAAGAAAATGTTCTACATCCCACTTTGGTGAGTAACGTCCGGAATCTTAAAAGCTTGCGAGCAGCCATTTAAGATATATCTATTGGTCCCATTCCATTCGGACCAAAGGAAAATGAAGAAAACCAAAGACACAGGAAAATATTAGCCCAAAGAACTGAAGGACCACATGAATCAGAGACTCCACCAACCTGAGCCCAGAAGAACTAGATGGTGCCTGGCTACCACCACTGGCTGCTCTGACAGGGATCACAACAGAGAGTCCCAGACAGAATGAGAGAAAAATACAGAACAGAATTCAAATTTACTAAAAAAGACCAGACTTACTGGTCTGGCAGAGACTGGAGGAACCCCCAATGCTATGGCCCCTGGACACTGTGCTAACTCAGAACTAAAACCACTCCTAAAGCCCACTTTTCAGACAAAAATTAGACAAGCCTATAAAACAAAAAATAACACAAGTGAAGAATGTGCTTCTTAGTTCAATCAAATGTTTGAGACCAAATGGGCAACTCCTGCCCAAAAGCAAGACAAGACAGGAAGGGACAGGAACTGGACAAATGGACACAGGGAAACCGGAACGGAAAGGGGAAACATGCTGTTACATTGTGGGGATTGCAACCAAAGTCAAAAAACAATATATGTATAAATTTTTGAATGAGAAATTAACGTGGTTGTAAACTTTCATCTAGAGCACATTAAAAAAAAGAAAGAGAACTAGCAAAAATTAGTCATGTCTTAGTTTGTTCATGGTGACCCCATGTGTTACAGAGCAGAACTGCTCCATAGAGTTTTCTTGGCTGTAATCATTACAGAAGCAGATCCCCAGGCCTTACATCTGTGGTACTGCTAGGTGAGTTCGAACCACCAACCCTTAGGTTAGTAGTTGAATGTAAATCATTTGCACTACCTAGGAGTTGGAATCAACTTGACCGCAATGGGTTTGGTTTTCTTCTTTTTTTTAGTTTACCCAGTGTGAACACAGCAGTGTCAAAAAAAAAAAAAGCCTGCATAGCAACCAGATCTTGGTTTCTACTACTATTCCCCCAATAAAGGGAACAAGAGCTCCTTGAAGTAATGGCTCATTCTAGGTCTGGGGCAGAAAATATACAAGATGAGCCTGGAGAATAAAAAAGTATCCCCCCTAAAAGGGACACAGGAATCAACTGAAAGAGCTCCCATCGGCCAAAGCTACATACAGGGTATTGATCATATAAGTAAATATATGAAGGATAATAGGAGTTAGACTTTTCACTGTCAGAGAAGGTAATTACAAACACAGAAATGCAGAAAACTAGAATGAATCCTGTGGGTTGGAACTATCTGAAGATATCAGTGTAATCTCATGGTTTACGATTGCTGGATAGAGAGAAAGGAAAGATATAAATGTGTCTGTGTATATTTGCGTCTATGAACATACATACATTCCCTAGCTCTGTCTGCTGAGAAGGCCTGGAAACAATGAGCATGCCTACTACCCAGAACTTGGTTTCTAATACCAATTCTCCAGTAAAAGGAACCAGGGCTGATAGCAGGGCTGGGGCAGGGAAATTACAATATTAGCCTGGAACATCTTGTGGTGCCAGAAAGCAAGGAAGTATTCAAAGAATGCTCAGGACACATCAAAAGGTCAGAGAATCAACCTTGACAAGGTGCTCGCTGGCCAAATCTGAGAATAATTTAAGCATAAAAATAAACGAACGAAAAAAACTAAACCTGTTGCCATATGCTATGGATTGAATTGTGTCCCCCAAAAATATGTGTTGTAAATCCTAACCTCTATGCTTGTGGTTATAACCCCATTTGGGAAAGGGGTTAGCCTTGTTATGTTAATGAGACAGGATTAGTGTAGGGTGTGTCTTGAGTCAATCTCTTTTGAGATACAAAAGAGATTAAACAAGCAACAAAAGAAGCATAAGATGGATGTCAAGACACCATGGAGATCTCCAAACAACCAAAAAGCAGAAGCTGAAGAGACAAGGAGCTTTTTCCAGAGCAGACAGAGAGAGAAAGCCTTCCCCTAGAGCTGGCACTCTGAATTCAACTTGTGGTCGCCTCAACTGTGAGAAAGTAAATTTCTGTTTGTCAAAGCCATCCACTTGTGGTGTTGCTGTTATAGGAGCACTAGATAACTAAGACACCACCAAGTCGATTCCAAGTCATAGCAACCCTACAGGACAGAGCAGAACTGCCCCGTGGGGTTTCCAAGGCTGTAAATCTTTACAAGAACAGACTGCCACATCTTTCTCCCGTGGGGCAGCTGGTGGGTTTGAACCGTTGACCTTTGGGTTAGCAGCCAAGTGCTTAACCATTGTACCACACACACAATGACAGTAATGATTAAATACATTGAGTGAAACAGAAAACTGAAAATACATACCGATATAAATAAATGAATAAACTAAAATTTTGTGTGAGGAAAAGAATAGCTAGTTTCAAAACACTTATTAATTTCAAAGGGTAACTTTACAGTGGAGATGCCTGGCAGACACCACCATAATGAAATAATTAAAGTGAATGTAAATAATGGGATCAATCAAAATCATGTACTATCTGATAGGATGCACTGAGATGCATCATTTGACTCTAAGCTTGAGGAAACATCAGACAAACTCAAACTGAGGCACGCTCTACAAAACAACTAGCCTGGTCTCTTCAAAAGTGTCAAGTTCATGAAAGCCAAGGAAAGACTGAGAAACTGTTCCAGATTGAAGGAGACTGAAGAGACATGATAACTAAATGCAATGCATGATTATGAACTGGATCCTCTGACTATAAAGAATATTATTGAGACAGCTGGCAAAATTTGAATGGGATCTGAGGATTAAATGGCAGCAATGTATCAATATTAATTCCTGATTTTTACAATTATATTGTAGTTACAAGGAGCCCTGGTGGTGCAGTGGTTAAAGTGATCGACTGCTAACCAAAAGGTCAGCAGTTCAAAACCACCAGCAGCTCCGCAGGAGAAAGATGTGGCAGTCTGCTTCCATAAAGATTTACAGCCTTGACTTGACGGCGGTGGTTTTTTGTTTTTTTTTAATTGTAGTTACGGTGAATGCTTTTTTTTAATAGAAAATACATACTCAAGTATTCCAAGGTAATGGAGCATTAGATTTTAAAGGTATTGCCAAATAATTCAGGCAAAATGAAAAGTTGTTTGTACTGTACTTCCAACTTTTCTGCAAGTTTGAGATAGTTTCAAATTTAAAAATATATATACACATAAGTTTGAAATAGTTTCAAATTTAAAAATATATATACACATACAGAGAAACCTGTGAGAGTTGGAACTCAACGGGACTGCCTTGTTTTTCTGGGTCTCGCAAGTTTTCCACCTTTGACAAGGTGAAGTCTTACTACTTTTCTATCACTTGCTTCAGTGGAAAATATTTGAGTTTTCTTTCTCTGACAGGTTTCCACCTTACACAAGTTCCAGCTTTCGCAGGTTTATTGTATATATTTTTCAACAGCTCCTCATTGCATCAAAAAATGCAGAATCCTCATACTAGGACTCTTCCAAGGTCTCACACAACCCAACCCTAATTTTCTTTCCAGTCTTATTTGGACAGCTCCTCGACCTAGCTCCCTGACCACAATGAACACTCAAACAGTCCCCCTTCTCCCTTCTGTCCCTCCATGTCACAATCTTTCTTCCCTCCCAACTGTAATCTCCACTTGATGAAATCCTACCGTTCTTTAAGGTCCATGCCGAATTTCCCCCAAGTTTTTGAAGATGTTACTGCTCCCTCTTTTACCTCTTTTGGGATACTATAATTATTTGTGTACCTGTGTCATTTTCCATGACTTGACAGTAAAGAACTTGAGGGTTCCTTGCGTCAGTCCAGAGCACCCACCACAGTGCGTATTTACATTCATGCGTAGAATTATGCAGTATCTTGTCTCAAGTATTTGTTCTGCTCAGGCATCCCATACAAATGAAGTTCTCTTACTACATGTCCAGAAGGCAAGAACTGCAATATTATTTAGCTGCTTTCTGTTTTTTAGGATAATGCCAATATTCTCATGAGCGTGTAATAAAGTTCTCAATATATTTAACTTCTATAAATGGTCTACCACATAATACCCTCAGGACTTCTTTCGACATATTTATAATCTGGATGCTTTCCCTCTTTGCATGATGAGTGAAAGAGCCCTCGTGGCCCAGTAGTTAAGCACTCGGCTGCTAACCAAAAAGTCAGCAGTTCGAACCTACCAGCTAGTCTGAAGGAGAAAAATGTGGCATTCTGCTTCCATAGAGAGTATAGCCTTGAAAACCCCATGGAGTAGTTCTATAAGTTGGAATCAACTGGATGGCAATGGGTTTTGTTTTGTTTTTGTTTTTTTTTTGGTTTTGCATGAATAGGAGGTATGGTAATTTTCTTCCTTTTATGCACTCATGTGGTAGGTAGAATAATGGCCCCCTCAAATATATCAAAGATCATGAAGATGGCCTAGGACCCAACGACGTTTTGTTCCGTTATACATGAACTTGCTATGAGTCAGAGCCAACTCAAGACAACTAACAACAAAAACAAAGATGTCCTCATCCTAATTCCCAGAATCTTTCAATATGTCAGATGACACAGCAAAGGGAAATTAAGTTTGCAGATGGAATTAAGGTTGCTAATCAGCTGATTTTAAAATATGGAGACCATCCTGGATTATCCGAGTGGGCCCAATGTAGACACAAACCCAAACCCACTGCATGAAGTCGATTCCAAGTCACAGCAGCCCTACAGGACACAACAGAACTGCCCTATGGTGTTTCCAAGGCTGTAAATCTTTAAAGGAGTAGACTGCCATGTTCCCCTGTGGGGCAGCTGGTAGGTTCAAACCACTGGCCTCCGAGTTAGCAGCTGAGTACTTAACCATTGTACGACATAAACAATGATCCAGAACCAAAACCAAACTCACTGCTGTCCAGTCGATTCAGACTCATAGCGACCTCGTAGGGTTTCCAAGGCTGTAAATCTCTATGGAAGCAGACTGCCACATCTTTCTCCCACGAAACCACTAGTGGTTTTCAACTGCGAACCTTTTGGTTAGCAGTCAATGGCTTTAACCACTGAGCTACTAACGCTCCTCAATACAATCACAAGGATCCTCGAATGTGAAAAGGGAGGCAGAAGCAAAAGAAAACTCAGAGTGAGACTGACTACAGAAGAATGACCAGAGAGATGCAATGTTGCTGGCTTTCAAGATGGAGACAACGGCCACAAGTCAAGGAAAATGTCAGCCTCTTGTTAGCTGCCCTGGAGTCCATTTCGACTCATGGTGACCCCATGCGTTATCTACTGGAAAAGGTAAGAAAACTGATTTATCCCAAGAGCCTCCAAAAAAGAACTTAGTTCTGCCAATGGCCTTGAGTGAGACCCATGTCAGACTTCTAACCTACAGAACTATAAGAAATTTGTGTTGTTTTAAGCCACTAGGTGTAAAACAATTTGTTACAGCAGCAAATAAACAAGCCAATACAAATCACCACCACCCATTTACTACCTATTTCCCTAATATATTCAGATTACTGTGGTGTCAGACCTCACAGAATCCAATCTTCCTACATGCATGCCTGTCAAAAAAAAAAAAAGGAGGAAATGAGGGGAAGGAAGGAAGGAAAGAGATGGGGGTTAATAAAGTACTAGTTGCTATCGATAATGAGATACATATAATTTTAAAAGAATTTAAGCAAATTGTGTAGACTAGGAAACACAGTATTCTTTGGATGGCTCCTTCAAGAAAAACTCTGCATATTGTGAAAAGTGAGGGTAACTGCAAAGCTTTGTGTGTCTTTAAGGAATCCACCTTCCTGAGAACTATCTCAAGAGACTACAAAAATGATAGGGAAACAGAAATCATTCTAAGTTTCGATTTTGGAATGGAGCAAAACAAACTAAAGGGACAGAATCAGAGGCAAGGCACCACAGAGACGCTAACTTGTGCCTGGGGCCTTGCGCCCCCTTCATGGCTCTGTGGCTAAGGAGACCCGGGCTGCTGGCAGCACAGAGTGCGGGGGCCGATCCGCGGGGGTCGCAGAACCGCCTCCCGGGCCCTCTCCTCTGGGCGCTTCCCCCACCATCCCCAGTTGCGCGGAAGCCTCCTGCTGCCCCACCCGAGTTCTGTCTAGCCCGGGATTAGCAGTAGCACGGATGGCAGCCGCACGACACCCAGAACAGAACGCCTCACTCACCCGCTTCGGCCAGCACAGTACAGGGAACCCGCGCCCTGGCCGCGCCCTGTACCCAGCGCGCAGGCCTTTCGGGAAACCACGTGTGGCGGCGCGCGGGGAGGGGCGCGCCTACCTCCTGCCGCGGGAGGTTCCGGCTTCCCCACCCGGAATCCGCTCAAAGGGACTGCACGGGAACCGTCCTGGGCCTTTAAAGGTGGCGCTGCCTTACGCAAAAGCGTCCTAGGAGATCTGAGGGGCCATTCCCGACTAGGTGGCACTCGGATTAACAGCTTGGTTCCTTGAAAAAAAGTAAAAGAAATTCTGCTGAAATGCTGGTTTATTTTAAACTAATCAGTACTGAGAACACCAAACCTAGTATCTCCAATGATTTTAAGGTGTATCACTAGCAACACAGCTATCATCAGGTTTATTTTCTATTTGTAAAAGATGGTTTGTATGTTTGTTTTGTGAGAGTCCCAAAAGTAGTCCTGAAGTTTCTATAAACACTAATATTAGAACATGTTTTTAAAAGCGTGCGTCTTCCTCTCTCTCTCTCTCTCTCTCTCTGTGTGTGTGTGTGTGTGTGTGTGTGTTGGTCAAGGAAAAGTACATAAAGCAGGAATCTCTCTTCGACTGTGCCTTGAAGATTGTTAAGTCTCATTGTAATTTATTGGTCTTTATAAACTTAAACTACGATTTTTTTTATAGCCAGCACAGCATCAACGTTTCTGTGCCTCTTTTGCAACGTTCTCTGGGCCGTGAAGTTGGGAAAGCTGCGGTGCTCCCGTAGTTTCTATGACCCATACCCCTTGAAAGTTTTCTTAGGAACTTTTGTTTTGTTGTGAAGCTTGTAAATAAATACTTCACAAGGTGTGAACGTTTCCTTTGAAAATAAAACATCCGGCATATTTCAAGATCTGAGTTTCTTAATCCTACACAAAGAACCAACCCACAGCTGCACTTGCTCATTAATCGAGATGGCAGAGATGTATCAAAATTATATAAAGTTCTAGTTTAAAGAGCTATATAGTAATATATAATGACCGATATAGTGGTCCTAAATAACAGATTAAAAGAAGTAAAATCTATTTATATCAAAAAAGTTGATAAAACCAGTTTCCAGTTGTTCTTTTCTTAAAATGACATGTCTACGTGGAAAATAAAGAGGAAAAAGGACTGCCCATTGTGGTGGGTGATAAGAACTTCTTTGTACTCATCAGCCCAGTTAGAAAATACAAAAACTCCATTTATTGCAAGTTGAGAAAGAATTATTTCTGTTCTACCTTGGAATTTTAGAAGGAGCATAAACTCTAGAGGTTATTTAGTTCAATGTCAATTCTTATTTTATTATTTTTTATACAAAGACACAAGGGGCAGGACCTTGGCCACAACTGGACTGATCTAATATGGACTCAGATTTTTTAGGTAGAAACTGAGCAAAGGGCAAAGCATTATAGGTAGTGGGAAAGCCTTTTTAAAACACCTACATTTTAAAGCAGATCCGTGTGCCAATAGCCTGAATTCGACTCAGCTTCAAGTCAGGTACTGTGCAAAGTACTAGGGATCCAAAGATGAATATTAAGCTCCTGGTCGTATTACTATTAATAATAATAATTGCTAGCATCTACTGAGAACTTCTGGGCATTTCATAAACCTTTTTTATTTTGCCAACAACCAGATGAGACCTAAGTATGATCCCCATTTTGCAGTTGAGGAATCTAACACTTAAAGAGGTAACACAAAATCAAGCTTTTAATATGTGGTGAGGTTGCTGTCATGCTCTACTCTCAGCCACAAAACTAATGTGTCCAAAGTGTGTTCTTTGGCATACTGGGAAGAAAGAGTTTGATGCCCAAATTAGATCGAGAAATGCTGAATACTGGATTCACTTTTGGAGATTCACAATGCACATCAGTATATTAAGAGTTCTGATAAATATTGAAGGGAAAAATTAAAGGACACATAAAAAAGTTTAGCTTTATTCAATATGGATTTTATCAAACTAACTTGACCATTAAATCATTTTTTCAAGGAACAGCTATGAAATCTTGAGGCAATTCCAACAGGGCAATTTGAGTAATGCTTTATTAAATTATATCCTTGAAGAAAACAGTTAAGTACTTGGCTAATAACATAGAGGTTGGTCCACCCAGAGGTGCCTCAAAAGAAGGTCTGTTGATCTACTTCCAAATAATCACAGCCATTGAAAACTCTACGGATTGCAGTTGTACTCTGACACACAGAGTCACCGTGAGTCAAAATCGACTCAACAGCAACTGGTTTGTTTGTTAGTTTAATATAAAAGTTATTATTTATTGAGTGTTTATCATGCGCTCAAATATTTGTCCACATGAGATGCAGCACTCTGTGCCTTGGACATTTCATGTAAATCTACACAGAAGTGATAAGAGATATATATTACATATTTGTCTCCTCTACTAGATGGTAATAAACTCTTCCCAGGCCTCCCCATATGCATACATATACACACACATATCCTCCGTTAAGTGCTATGAAGAGGTGGGATACCAGGAGTAGTAGACCACAAAGTAGTAGACTACTGAGTAGTCTCCTCTACCTCAAGAGATCAGTGAATGCTTCCTTCACAGAAGAGCCGAAGATTGAGCTGACTCAGAGGAGGAGGACTGAGACAAAAGGTCGGGTGGAAAAGCCCACAAGCATGAAACAATTTGAGAGGCACCAAGAGTTTAGACGGTATGAAAAGGATTAGAAAAATACTGGATATCCATTATATTATACTCTTCCTTTTGGAAAAAGTCCAGCACACCAAGGTTATGCGCCTCTTGCCAAGATTTTGGTGATCTGGTTTGCAATTATTTCTTTGGGAAATTGGAACACTTATGCCCAACATTGTGCAAGATTCTGGGGGATACAAAGGAATAATGTAACCTGATTCTAGTTTTCAAGTGGTTTGCAATAGTAACATATAAATGCTAAAGGAAAACAAATACCCCATCCCTTACTCTATCAGCCAGGTAGTGCTACATATTTAAGAGCATGGGTTGATATCAGATGTGCGTTTGAATCCCAATTTCAAGTTACTAAAGCTTTCTAATCTCCATTTTCTCATCTGTAAAATGGAGCTGTTGTAAAAGAGATACTACTGTACATCAAGTGCTAAACACAGTGGATGGAAACCAAAGTGTTTCTAAGTGTCTGTGATGCTCTTTTCTTGAGAAAAGAAAAACAACAGCTGTTCCTGTCTTCCTACATCTTCTTCAGAGAACAACGGCTCCTGGACTGCAGCCAGGCTGCCATTACAGCTACTCTGAGATGGAAAGAAAGGAATAAACCGGGAGGCTGGACTGGTCAAAATGATGCACAAGAGTGGAAAGAGGGAGCAAGGAGAAGCCAGGAAAAAAGAACGAGACTAGCGTATCTGGAAACCTTCAAAGGAATATTCTTTCCTCTTTCATTAACATTCATTTTGATTTATTCTAAATAGTTTGCCCTTGTGTACAATGTAAAAAGATAGAATGATCTCACACACAACGCTCATTTTAATAACATAATATCTACATGGGGTAGTTTGATGATGATGGATACACAAAGCCAGAGTTAATTCATCCCTCTCAGGGCTTAAACTTCCCCAGATGAATTATAAATAAAAATAAGCTTCATCCCCAACAAAAATTTCTAAAAAAGGTCCTTCAGATCTTATCGCTTGGTCACTTAATGGATTGGAATGAAAACATGATTGTATTTGGGAGGCTGACCTCAGCTGTTTTTCAACCATTTGAAAAATAGAATCTCTAATATTTGGTGCCCATATTCAAAGCAACATTTTCTCAGGTATATGAATAACAGCAGGTAGGTTAGCTTGTCATGGAAAGCAGGCCATGTTAAAATTATCATGAGAAGCAGGACTGAGTCTTTGCTTTGACTCTTACTAGCTCTGTGAACGTGGGCATTTGTAATGGGTCTCACACATAACAGGTGCTCAAAATGTTGGTTCTAATCATATTTCCCTTCAGCCTTCTGAGACTCAATTTCTCCATTTCCTCAAATGTAAAAATGAAGGTAATAATATTTACCAAACAATTACAGAATGTTTTGTAGGGATTCAATGAGCTAATACATATAAATAAATGCTTTTGAACAGTAAATGCAAAGTAAAATAATAATACTATTAATATTGTCTTCTGGATTTAAGCTACAGTTCGAAGGGTTGGTTATCAGAGGTGATGGTGCGAGAGGAAAATATAACTAGATAACTTAAAAGTATTTAGGAGCTGGATGAAGCCCCCAGGCAATTGCATAAAACCACCTTAGATGTGCACTGCACAAAGCTTCCTGTTTCCCTTGGAATTGTGCGAAGTGTGCTAAGGAGGGATTCTGAGCTGCCATGGTTTGGTTGGTTGGTGGCCTAGAATAGGATAGAAAGAGTAAAAACAAGTAAATCAAGCAAGTCTAAGTCTCTCTGTCAATTATTTTTCTCCTATTATTTTATGAACTGCACGTAACAGAGACAGGTCGTTGTTCAGTGGCATTTTTGTGAGCTCTTCTTCTTCCTCCTACTCCAAAGGTACCCCAAGCATCCAGCATTTGCAAGCCCCCTTTTGTAGTCTCTGATATGATCTGCCCTCCTCCTAGAGACAATGTGACCAAATGACCCAGGGTTTTTTAAGACTCAGTTTCAAAAAATTCTCTGCCCAATTTCAGTCCATGTGCCACAACTTGTTTCTCTTTTTCTTCTTAATTGACATTTATAGTTGATTGTTTTGTTCCCACAAGGTTTTTAATAATGGTCAATTTGTATCCTGAATTTACTAATGAGTCACTTTTTTTTTATCTTGCACACACCTGCCAGATTATTCTTCTCAAAAGTGTTATGTCATTCTTATGCCATTCCACAACTTAAGTATTTGCAGAAGACATCCTATATATAAAGTCCAAACTCTCTCCCTCAATCCCAGTCCCAGGCTGTTTCCACAACAGGCTGAAAGCAGCTCAGCTTTCTGACTTTATCATCCATTATTGCCCTTCTCTGCACCCAACTAAATTAGTCAGCTCTCCATCTCCAAAACAGTCA